GCGTCGTCGGCTCATATCAGGGCTCAGCTCGTCCGCAGGCTCCGTAGGTTTAATGTTCAGGGCGCTCAAACAGAGCGCAACCTAGGCATCGACTTTGCCGCTGCAGTCTGCCGCTTTCGCGCCACGCGAGCCGCTCGCAGGGCACCAGCACACGCTCGGGCCCGCAAGATCGTCTCGCTCGGACCGCATGTTAAAAAGCGCTGGCTGCACAATATGGTGCAAGCTGCCCCCCTGGCCTCCTGTAAGTATGGGGGGCGCTGTGTACGGCACGAATTGCACGGAGTTGCGTCTCGCCAGAGCTATGCAGGCACATGTGCAGGTCGCCAAACTGCCGGGTCGCAGTCTCACGTTGCTTCTTATGATGTCTGAAGCACCCCGATGCGACCCTGCGTGCAAATTAAATATTGAGCCCCTGCAGATGTTTGCGGTGGCCGTCTGGGATGGTTTGCTCCCTGTGCGCATGCTCGGGCAAGGAATAAAAGATGCTGTCCATCGCTTCTCCGACCACGGGAACCCCTGGGCTGGCATCAAGGGTCCTTTCGCGGCCTGCGCGGCCACTGCCATCCGTCTGGGGCTCCAGGTCGACGGTTTTGGTTTCGCTCACTCGGTCCTGGGGCGCATCTCGGTCAGGGACGTCGGCCCCAGGACTTTTGTACTCTGGCTCCAGAGGGTGGTCGATGTTTGGCTTTGGGGTAAGGTCGCCAATAGATTGGATGTGCCTGAGCTGCAACATGGGTGCGACCTTACTCCGCTCAGAAGCCTTCGCCCCCTCTTGCCTGTCGAGCGCGGGCATCTCAAGAGTGTGATTTCAGGAGGCCAGTGGCAGCAGCATCGTCAATGAGAGGCTGGGCTCTCGACCAACGTCTTCTGTCTAGGTTGCGGGTCAGCCCCAGGAACCCTGCTGCACAGGCATGCAGCGTGCGGCTTGCATGAGGAGATCATGGAAGGAGTTCGCATTCCGTCCTTTCTCACCACCCTCGTGCGAGCTGCCACTGGGCCTCTCCCCCTCCTCTTTGCTGAGAGGCTGCTGCTGCCGCTTGCTCCCCTCCCCGCCACCCGTCCCGTCCCAGATAGGTGGTTCGCAGGAGGGCCCGAGGCCCTATCAGGACATGTGTTCCTCGACGGGTCGTGGATCGACCAGAAGCTCCCCCCCCACGCGCAGGCGGTGGGGTGGGCCGCCGTCGCTTTGTGTCCCGGCACATTCCGTGCACTCTCTGTTGTGTGTGGTACGGTGCACGAGTTGTGTCAAGACATCGACTATGCTGAGCTTGTTGCGTTTTATCGCGGGCTGCAGCACGCGTCACCAGGATCCATATTGTACACAGACTCAGCCTTCGTGCATGACGGTGTGCACAAGCGTGGAGAGCGAGAGTGTTGTGGCTCCCGCGGTGCATGGTCCGAGCTGTGGCGCGCGGTGTGGACAAAGATTCACGACTGGGGTGGTCCCTCTCAGATTCGTCTCGTCAAGGTGAAGGGACACTGTACGCATGCACGTGTGCAGCTCGGTCTCAGCAGTGCGTTTGCAAAGGCTGGTAATGATGAGGCCGACTCGTGGGCCCAGTGGTCTGCATCGCGTGTCCAGATTGGTCAGAGTTTGCGTGAGCAGGTCAATGCCAGGGCTAAGGTGTTGGCTCACTACGCCAGATGGGTGGCCCAAGTAAGGGCGAGTTTCGCCGATTTTGACTGTGAGCATGTTAAGCCTGAACAGAAGCGGTCTTGTCAGTCTTCCTGTCAGCCCATGCTCGTGGTTGAACCGCCCCCGCCAGTCGCCACCCCTCGCCCCCTCCTGCGTGCTGATGCTGCGCACGCGCGTGTTGTTGCAGCAAATGGGCGCAGGCACCTCGTGCATCCCTTTCAGCTTCAGGAGGGCACCTGGTGCGTCGTGTGTGCAGTCTGCGGGCTCGGAGGTCGCAAAGTCTCTGCCAAGCTGTCTGAGCAGTGCAATGGACCCCCTGCGACTTCCTCCCACGGCGCGCGCGTGTTGGCGAACCTCGCGCGCGCGCCAGCACGATACAGTCTCAATAAGAAGTGGCACCTGCTCCGCCAGCCGTTCAAGACTGGCGATCAGGTCCGTGCGGGTGAGATTGATTCTCTCCATATCGCCTAACTCGTTTGGCTTTACCTTTTCCTGTGTGTTCACCCGTGGGGTGAACGTGAGCGGGTGGTGGCGCAAGTGGTAATGGCCCCGCATCAAAGGGGAAGCGCCACCCATCCAGCTCAAAGGTGTGCGGCGAGACTCATCGTCGCGCAGGGCAGCGTCGAGGAGGCGGAGGAGGAGGAAGAGGGGGAGGAGGAGCGAGAGGAAGAGGAGGACGAGGAGGAGGACGAGGAGGAGACAGACGAGGAGGAGGAGGAGGAGGAGACATAGGAGAAGGATGACGAGGAGGAGGAAGAGGAGGAGGAGGAGGAGGCGGAGAACGAGGAAGAGGAAGAGGAGGAGGATGATGATGATGATGCTGAGGAGGAGGATGAGGAGGAGGAGGAGGAGGAAGAGGAGTGAGAGGAGGCGGAGGAGGAGAAGGGGCGAATATGATGATGATGATGATGATGATGATGATGATGATGATGATGATGATGATGGATGATGATGATGATGAGATGAGGAGGAGGAGGAGGGAGGAGGAGGAGGAGGAGACGGGGAAGAGGGGGAAGAGGAGTAGGAGGGGGAGGAGGAAGGGGAGGGGGAGCAGGATGAGGAGGATAATGAGGAGGAAGCGGAGAAGAAGCAGAAGAAGAAGGAAGCGGAGGAGGCGGATGACGATGACGCGGAGGAGGAGGAGGATGAGGAGGAGGATGAGGGGGGAGGAGGAGGAGTGAGGAGGAGGAGGAGGAGGAGGAGGAGGAGAAGGGGGAGGAGGGGGATAGGGAGGATGAAGAGCGGGATGAGGAGCAGGAGCAAGATGAGTAGGAGGAGGGGGACGAGGAGGAGGCGGAGGATGGGGATGAGAAAGAGCGGGATGAGGAGGAGGATGGGGAGGAGGAGGATGAGGGGGAGGAGGAGGAAGAAGAGGAAGAGGAGGAGGACTATGCTGATGATGCTGCTGATGATGATGATGATGCTGATGATGATGATGGTGATTGTTTCGATGCTGATGATGATGATGATTGTTACGATGCTGGTGATGATGATGATGTTGCTGATGATGATGCTGATGATGATGATGATGATGCTGATGCTGCTGGTGATGATGGTGACGACGACGACGGCGATGATGTTGCTGTTGTTGCTGATGATGATGATGATCACGATGATGACACTGCTGATGCTGATGATGTTGCTGATGTTGATGATGGTGATGGTGATGATGATGATGATGATGGTGATGATGATGATCATAATGATGATGCTGATGATGGTGATGATGGTGAGGAGGATGTGGAGGAGGAAAGGGATGATGAGGCGGAGGAACGGGATTGAGCGGAGGAGGAGGAGGAGGAGAAGGAGGGGGAGGAGAAGGAGGAGAAGGGGGAAGAGGAGGAGGAGGAGAAGGAGGAGGAGGAGGAGGAGGAGGAATAGGAGGACGAGGACGAGGAGGATGAGGAAGAGGAGGACGAGGAGGAGGAGGAGGACGAGGCGGCGGAGGCGGAGGATGGAGGATGGAGGCGGAGGAGGAGGAGGAGGATCTGATGAGGAAGATGCGGAGGAACAATAGGAGGAGGAGGAGGAGGAGGAGGAGGAGGAGGAGGAGGAGGAGGAGGAGGAGGAGGAGGAGGGCGAGGATGATGAGGACGAGGAGGAGGAGGAGGAGGAGGATGGGGGGAATAATGACGAGGAGGGGGAGGCGGAGGAGGAGGAGGAGGCGGAGGATGAGCTAGAGGATGACCACGCGGAGGAGCAATAGGATGAGGATGGGGATACGGAGGAGGGGGAGGAGGAGGAGGAGGAGGAGGAGGAGGAGGAGGAGGAGGAACACCGATGAGGAGAAGGATGAGGAGGATGAGGATGAGGAGGAGGCTGATGAGGAAGAGCAGGCGGAGGAGGAGGAGGAGGAGGCGGAGAAGAGGGATGGGGAGGAGGAGGCGGAGGAGGAGGAGGAGGAGGAGGGAGGAGGAGGAGGAGGAGGAAACAGAAGGAGGAGGACGAGGGAGAGGAGAAGGAGGAGGAGGAAGAGGAAGAGGAAGAGGAGGACGAGGAGACGGAGTATAATGAGGAGGATGAGGAGGATGAGAAGGAGTAGGAGGAGGAAGAAAATGATATGAAGAAGAAGGATAAGGATACTGATAATGCCAAGAAGAAAAATAAGACTAAGAATACGAATCCGAAAAATAATAATACGAAGAAGAAGAAGAATATGAGGAGTGGGAAGAACATGGTACGGAGACGACGACGAAGAAGAGGCGGATGAGGAAGCGGACCGAGGATGACGAGGAGGAGGAACGCGGATGAGGAGGAGGAAGAGAAGGACGAGGACGAGGGGGAGGAGGAGGAGGACGAGGAGGAGGACGAGAACGAAGACGAGGACGATGATGATGCTGATGGTGCTGATGATGTTGATGGTGATGATGATGCTGATGATGCTGATGCTGATGCTGATGATGCTGATGATGATGCTGATGATGATGCTGATGATGATGATGATTATGTTGATGATGATGATGTTGATGCTGATGATGATGATGATGATGATGATGATGATGATGATAGTGATGATGATGATGATGATGATGATGATGGTGATGATGATGATGCTGCTGATGCTGATGATGATGATGGTGATGATGATGCTGATGCTGATGATGGTGCTGGTGATGATGATGATGCTGCTGATGATGACGATGATGATGCTGATGATGATGATGGTGATGATGCTGATGATGATGATGATGTTGATGATGATGGTGTTGATGATGATGATGATGAT